CATGGTTTCCATTATTTGCAATAACTAGTCTGAGACAAGAAGAAAAGGTCAGATAAGATGATGTTAAGCGAAATGAACCCCAAGATAAGGACACAAGTGTTTTTTTTTCTTTCTTGCTATTGTTTCTAATGTATTTATAAGGTACCATGTGATTTTTTTGTTGTTGCTTTGTATGTCCCTCCCCCACGGTATAACCTGTTTTCACTGTATTCGATGTTGGTATAATTTGTGGAGAGGAAGGGGAAAAACAAAATTGTTTAAATAGGGATACCGGTTGACCCATTGCAGCAATGAGATGTACAAGACACTATGTCGAAAATGAACTGTATAATTTAGGTGGTGTGGGGAGTGGGAGTGTAGTTGTGGAGATGGGAGGGAAGGGATGGTAAGGGAAGAATAAAGGAGGAGGCAACAATGCTTGATAAGAAATGTACTCATTACCTTTCTCATGCTAATTGTAACCCCTCTGTACAGTATTTTCACGATAAAACTCTTATTTAAAATAATCTAGGCAGAAAACCACATTTAAAGAGACTGGGGACATGTGTGAACTATTTTATGGAATTGAAGTCTGTGTCTACATAGATTAGTATGTACAAACATCTCAAATGGATAAAATACTATTTTAAAACAAACTAAATATAACTTACTTTATACCTTTACAATGTGAATTTGAGTTTATCACTATTTTCAATTTTAAACTTACTTATTAAAACATTTTGAAAAATGTTTCATAAATATCCTTTGTTGTTAGAAATAATGTTTATATATTAATTGAAATTATATTGTTAGTATTATAGTGACAGTCTCTATTTTGGAGCATTTTTCTTTTTTTGCCTTTTTTTTAAAATTGTGAAAATACAGAGGGGTTACAATTACATGGGCAAGATAATGAGTACATTTTTTTCAAGCATTGTAGCCTCCTCCTTTGTTTCCCCTTTCCATCCCAACCCTCCCCCCCCCACCAAAGTTGTAAAGTTCATTTTTCGACATAACAATTTGTACATCTCATTGTTGCAATGGGTCCACCTGTATCCCTATTTAAACGATTTGTTTTTTTCCCTTCCCCTCCACAAATTATAACAACATCAAATACAGTGAAACACAGGTTATACCGTG